GCAAAATTTCATTACTTCCGGTGATAATGAAAATGTTCAATTAGTTTTATGAAATCAGAAATGGCATAAGGCATCATATGGCGAAAATTGTATGTAAATCGAATGAGAATTGCCACTTTTATAGACCAAAAACCTTGAAAGGTGACTTGTAGAAAATCGACTATTTCTCGGCAACCGTACACGATAAAAACTATCTTTTGGTATCTATATGATCGTATGGGTTCAATCCATTTGTTGATTGGAATCAAATATCATAATTTGAAATATATTACAAATCAGACTCATTTGAAAAAAATATCTGTTTTGAAGGCTAAAAATACAGTTTTTGCTAAAATGACATTACTTCCGGTGATACTGAAAATGTTAAATTAGTTCTATGAAATCATAAATGACACAAGATATCATATGGTGAAAATTTTATGAAAATCGAATAATAACTGACACTTTTATAGACCAAAAACCTTGAAAAGTGACTTAAGGAAAATCGCCCATTTCTCTGCAACCGTACAAGTTAGAAACCATTTTGTGGTATCTGTATGATCGTATGGGTTCAATCTATTTGATCAATAGAATCAAATATCATAATTTGAAAAAAATAACAAATACGAATCATTTGAATAAAATATTGTTTTTTGAAGGCTAAAATTTAAGTTTTGAGCAAATGACGTCATTTCCGGTGGCAGCGCAAGGGGTAAAATGGTTTGACATAGTCCACTATGGCATTAGGCATCCAATGGCGAAAGAAAATTGAAAATCGAATAATAATTGATTCTTTTACAGCCAAAATTACGTGAAAAGTGACTCATGCAAAATTGCCTATTTCTCGGCAACTGCTTATATTACAAACTAATTTTCACATACATTCTCTTCGTATGGATTATAGCTACAAGTTTATAAAAGTTACGTAAAAATATTTTAAAATCTGAAAAGCCTGAATGAGTTGTAAATAGGTCAATTTTACGCCTTTTTTCACCTCTTAATCCAATTTGCTAGAAAATGAAAAAGAAATTAAAAAAACTGCTTCCGACATTTTTTGCGCCTTTAAAGGACACACTCTTTGGGTCATATAATTTTTCAAAAAAATAATATTTGTTTTCAAAAAATGGTACCTAACTGTCAAAATTGTAGTTTTTGGTAAAATTATGCCACTTCCGGTGCCGACAGATAACACTTTTGGTAATAAAAAAAATGACAATTGAGACAACGAAGCATATGAACTTTGTTTTATACAAATCGAACAATAAAAAATTAAGCTAGGACTGAAAAACTGAATTAGCCAATGGAGGCCAAGGAAAATTACTGAGACAAAAAATTTTAACATTTTTGCGCAAGTCAGATGACTCTTTAATTCTGTGCACAACACGAGTAAAAAATATTCATCAATAAAAAAGTTTTTTGTAAAATTTTAAATTTCCGAAATTTGGCGCCTAATATCTTCGAATTTTTGCTGAAAATCAAAAATCGAAAGTAGCGCAGCTATGTGCCCTGTCTCCAGCTATGCCAAAATGTATCGAAAGTTAAAATCCCATGATTATTGTTAAAATTACCGCAATATTTGTAAAAACGATAACTTCGGTGATTTCGGACATTTCGCATTGTCGCAGAACGTTCAAAATAGCTTTATCCTCTAAGTCACACCCACTTTCCCAGTAAAACCGAAGAAATCGTAACGATGCGACAAGTAGTTGCTGAGATCTACTCAAAACAAAAGAAGAATAATAATAATAATAAGAACTAGAACTGCGAAGCAGTAATGACGGGTTTCACCGGTGCCACGTTACCCTTGAACTTATGTCACTTACGGTACCAATGAAACCGTTAAACAGGTTTCCACATAAGCATTGCACACATGAAATAAACAACCAAATCCAGCAATCAATTCATTTGCTACATGTCAGTGATCCTGTCAAAATTACATTACTTCCGGTGATAATGAAAATGTTAAATTGGTTTATGAAATCAGAAATAGCATCATCACATGGTGAAAATTTTATGTAAATCCTATAATAATTGCCACCTTTATAGACCAAAAACCTTGAAAAATGACTTGTAGAAAATCGCCTATTTCTCTGCAACCGTACAAGTTAGAAACCATTTTGAGGTATCTGTATGATCGAATGAGTTCATTCTATTTGTTGATTGGAATCAAATATCATAATTTTAAAAACATTACAAATCTGATTCATTTGAATAAAATATCTGTTTTGAAGGCTAAAAATACAGTTTTTGCCAAAATGACGTTACTCCCGGTGATAATGAAAATCTTATATTACTTGTATGAAATCGTAAATGGCATTATGTATCACACAGTGAAAATTTCATGAAAATCGAATAATAATTGACACTTTTATTGACAAAAAACCTTAAAAAGTGACCTGTTGAAAATTGCCTATTTCTCCGCAACTGAACAAGTTAGAAACCATTTTGTGATATCTATATGATCGTAAGGGTTCATTGTATTAGTTGATTTGAATCAAATATCAAAATTTTAAACAAATAACAAATATGACTCATTTGAATAAATTACTGGTTTCGAAGGCTATAAATACAATTTTTGCCCAAATTACGTCATTTCCGGTGATATTGAAAATGTTAAATTGGTTTGACCTAGTTAAAATTGACATTACACATCAAATGGTGTCACTTTTATGAAAATCGAATAATAATTGACTCTTTTACAGGCAAAGTAGCGTAAAAAGTGACTCATGCATAATTGCCCATTTCTCGGCAACTGCGCATATTACAAATTAATTTTCACATACATTCTCTCCGTATAGATTATTGCTACGAGTTTATGAAAGTTACGAAGTAATATTTTAAAATATGAAAACGCTGGATGGGTTGTAAATAGCTTAATTTCACACCTTTTTTCACCTTTTAATCGAAATAGCCCGAAAACGGAATCGAAATTAAAAAAAATAGTCCCAACATTTTGTGCGCCTTTAAAGGGCGCACAATTTCAGTTATACCAGATTTGAAAAAAATAATATTTGCTTTCGAAAAATGGTACCTAACTGTCAAAATTGTAGTTTTTTGTCAATTTACGCCACTTCCGGTGCCGACAGATAACACTATTGGTAACAAAAAAAATGACAATTGAGACAACGGGGCATATGAACTTTGTTTTATACAAATCGAACAATAAATAATTAATCTAGGACTGAAAAACTGAATTAGCCAATGGGGGCCAAGGAAAATTACCGAGACAAAAAATTTTCACATTTTTGCCCAAGTCAGAGGACTCGTTATATTTGTGTAAAACACGATTAAAAAATATTCATAAATAAAAAAGTTTTTTGTAAAAATTTAAATTTTCTAAATTTAGCGCCTAATATCTGCGAAGATTTGCCGAAAATCAAAAATCAAAAGTAGCGTAGCTATGTGCCCCGTCTCCGGCTATGCCAAAATGCATCGAAAGTTAAAATCCAATGATTATTGTTAAAATTACTGCAATATTTCTAAAAACGATAGCTTCGGTGATTTCGGACATTTCGCATTGTCGCAGAACGTTCAAAATAGCTTTATCCTCTAAGTCACACCCACTTTTCCGATAAAACCGAAGAAATCGTAACGATCCGACAATCAGTTGCTGAGATCTACTCAAAACAAAAGAAGAATAATAATAATAAGAATAATAATTTTAACAAAAACAATAGTGTTTCACACAAGCTACGCAGTGTGAAACCCTAATAATAATTTTAACAAAAACAATAGTGTTTCACACAAGCTTCGCAGTGTGAAACCCTAATAATAATTTTAACAAAAACAATAGTGTTTCACACAAGCTTCGCAGTGTGAAACCCTAATTAGATATTTACTAGTATTAATAATTAACTAGATGTGGAAACTACATTATAACGCGCGAATAATCTTATAAAGTCACTGAGTAGTCTGGTATTAGTATATTAGTAGGTTCAACCCAAGCCACTATAAACCATGCCCTGTCATATTTGTCGCTTTACCACCATACATTTACTAAATATCTAAAATATACATTTCAGATGGACCAACCGTATCTGTATCACGTGAATCTGTTGTTATAGAAGAATCAAATCGTCTAACTGTAACTTGTACAGTTGATTCTAATCCTGTATCAACTATTAGATGGTATTCTCCAGATGGACGTATGGTAACTAATAATGAAGATTTAGTTATAAATAATATCAACAGAAATCAATCTGGTATATATAACTGTACAGCTATTACAGTATTACAACCTACTAATGGTACTGAACAAACTATAACAGACAGCAGTAAAACTGTACAGGTTGATGTACGATGTAAGTAGATAATTAAGCGCATATCTTCTTCATATTTCAAAAACAAATTAGAAGTTGTAATAGTTAATTCTACTAATATATTTATGTCAACTTTAAATGTTAAAATCAATTCATCTGAACTGTATGGAGATTATTAAGTCAACATTTCCAATGATATTAACCATATTATATTAACAATATCACTCACAAGTATATATAATTTATTAATCATACTATATTAACAATAACACTTACAAACACAGTCGTCCATCCAGATTTTCCGGCGTGGTTTCCCCTTGTCAGTGATGCAGGACGGAGGGCATGACAAGGACAGCTGTCTAGTCCTTCGGATGAGACGAAAAAAAGAGGTCCCGAGTATATATTGGAATGCACGTAAAAGATCCCCTGGCAGTTGGAATTCGATATAAGAGTAGGCGATAGTGCCGCTGCCCGGGCAAAATTTCCCTCATAGCACACTGTATGGCGTATGCCCGTCTTCATTAATCCAGTATAGGAGCAGAACAGTAGGACGCTAAACCCCATTTCATTTCATTTCATTTTACAAACACAGTCTAAGTTTTTAAAAAAAAACAACATATTTCTAAATAGATATATATCTTGTTGATTTTATTTTGAAGATCGATTTGCAAAATACAAAGTTTATTCAGCTAGTGAAAAAATAACAAGCTTGTATCTAATAATAATAAGTAAATTTAATATGAAATTGATTTTATTGTCTAGCTGCTCCAGATGTACCTAAGGAATTTATATTGGACAGTTTATCCCACAGTTCCATCTGTATCAGGCTAAAACCAGGTTTTGATGGTGGAGATACCCAGAAGTTTATTTTTGAACATTCTGTCGACAACAAAACTTGGACTTTCACACCAACAGTAGAACTAACTAAAGAAGGCGATGTTTTAAACGGCTGTATAGAAAACCTAAACCCAGACACCGAGTACTTTGTGAGAGTAATTGCTAGTAACAGGTATGGTTCATCAAAACCAGTCCACCTGGTGATTCGTCAGCCACTACGGACTTCAGCTAATCCATATGCATCTGGTGAGAATACTAAATTACAATATGTTAGTTATAAAAACGGCGCATATAAATTCATTGACTGTGTCTTGGCTGTATTGGGCGAGAAAGTAGCCTTGCGCTGTGGTTTTCCCTTATCCGTGCGGAGCTCCGGTGCTTACCAACTAATGGGTCTGGAGTCAATCAGAATTTTGGAGGGAAATGTTCCTGGGATTTTGCAGGTTGATTTTCACTGACAAGGTCAGTATCTAATCGTCCTACTTTCCTGATCCAATCGGGCTAACATAGTTCGATCAAGTAATGGTTTATTTTATATTGCAGACGGCACAGTCACCGCACTGATCGTGTGTTTATGTTTGGCTATCTTAGTAATTATTGGTCTGATCATTGTGATTATTTATCAACGCAGACAGCATTCAACCATGGAAGGTGATTTAATTATCTTATTTCTCTTATTGATAGAAATTAAACCGAAATTTATAAACTTGCGATTTTTACTTGAGACCATTTAAAGAGAGGGTGGATGACCGAATGGTCAGGATGTGCACGCTGTATCATAAGGTCTGTCATTGAGTCAAATGGCCTGGTTTCGAGTCCCCGGTTGTAGGTGACAAGGATTTGGGTCGCCTATCAACCCTCGTGGGTTTTCTGGTTACCTCCCACTGCTAACGATCCCCACGCGCAAGCGAATTATTGAGATAAAAATGAACCATATGTTAGTCCCAAAAATAACCTAAGTACAAGCGAATTATTGAAATAAAAATGAACCATATGTTAGTCCCGAAATAACCTAGTTTGTGTCGAGTGGGCATTAAACGCTATTTCTCTCTTTCTCTCTCTCCATTTAAATAGACATAAATCATTTATCACCAAGATAGTTGTGGGATGTTATATTGCTTGGTTATATTGTTCTCCTGATATGTTATTGGTTTTTATTTTAGTTGCAGGTAACAGTAAGACCAGTGGGTAAGTGTAGCTTATACGATGATACTTTGTTAAAACGTTTTAAGTTTATTTTCTGTGTATGGGGTAATAAGAAAGACAAAAAATGCAAGGCTAACAATGCAGTACAAAATAGCCAAAGAAGAAACATCGATGTAAAATATACGCTCTTAACACCGGATAGGTTCTCCAGAAATATGAATACCAACTCGTTCAAATTACACGAGTGTCATACTGACTATCAAAGAGTGGAATGCCTTGCCCAAAGGCTCGTCTCCTTCAAGAACCCACTGCAGAACAAAGAGTAACATGTATAGATATCATTGCACGCAATTGATTAAATTCGAAATTTTGGCATTGATTTAAAATGGGTATGCGCACACAAGCAGTGACAGAATGGTCAACCTGATGACGGTGGTCACTTAGTGGTAGAATACAAATTGATTACTAAGCTTTGTTAACGTAACAGGAATCACTTGTAAAGTACATTATTGTGGAAGATGATACCAGTCCAAAAATAGTGCAATTCCGTTCAGTAGTCACAAAGATGAAATATCATCGATCTATGCCATTTGCTATGTTATAAGTCTATCGCCATTTTGTTATCCACAAAAATGGTAATGATAGGCCTGTTTAAAATCCGATTAAATCCAAGCCGCGATATTATCTAGCTATGGTATTTTGATTTTATTTTCTTTATCAATAGTATATTGTAGCGAAATATGCCAAATGTAAATTAACGTCTAATTTTGAGAATAATACTTTGTTAATTACAGAACAAGTAGAAACAAGGCACGCAGTAAGTATATTCAATGTCATTTAATGTTAATATCTACATGGATTTCGGTATGTTGTTTGTAGTTTCGGGAGGTGTTCGTACTTCACCATAATTTGTGAGACAAGGTAACATACACCCACCAACAGCTGCAATAAAACCAGTCATGTCAAAATGATATTGGCGTAATAAATATGGATAACAGTTGTAATAAAACCCGTCATATAATGATGATATAAGCCCAATAAATACTGACAGTAGGTGTAATAAAACCCATCATCATGTTGATAGTTATCCCAATACTGACACTACTTGTAATAATACTTCTTATATCGTGATGTTAACAAGCCCAATAAGTACTGACAATATAGCTGTAATAAAACATGTCATATAATGATGATATCAAGCCCAATAAATACTAATAATAGCTGTAATAAAACCCGTCATATGATATCATGCCCGAATACATACTGACAATAGCTGTAAAATAACATCCGTCATATCATGATGATATTAGTCAAATAAATACTGACATTAGTTGTAATAAAACCCGTCATCATTTATCACCCAGATAATTGTGTGATGTTATATTGCATGGTTCTATTGTTCTCCATATATTTTATTGGTTTTATTTTAGTTGCCGGTAACAGTAAGACCAGTGGGTAAGTGATACTTAGTTAACACGTTTAAGCTTATTTTCTGTGTATGGGTAATAGGAAAGACGAAAAATGCAAGGCTAATACTGCTGTACAAAATAGCCAACGTAGAAGTCAACATCGATGCAAAATATACGCTCTTAACATAGGTTTGTCATAATTATGAATGCCAACTCATTTAAACTACATCAGTGTAATGCCACCATCTAAAAAGAGTGAAAACGAAATATGCAATTCCGTTTAGTATTCACAAAAAATATGTAGAATTGAAATATCATCGATCTGTGCCCTTTTCTATGTAATAAGTCTGACGCACCATAAAACCACATTTCATTTCATTTCATGTAATAGTTCTATCACCATTTTGTTGTCCACAAAAATGTAATGATAGACCTGTGTTATATTATTAGGTCTTTAAATCAGGTTCTTGACGACAACACTGGTTTAATTTCATAAGATACTTATATTCTTCTTCTAACATATGCACATAACTTAAGACACGTAGTCTTATGGCACGAAGCGTACCTATAACATCTGCCATTATGTAACACCTGTTTAACATCCGATTGAATCCAATCCGGGATATTATTTAGCTATGGTATTTGGTTTTTAGTTTCTTAATCAATAGTTAAATAAACAATCTCCAGTATATTGTAGCGAAAAATGTCAAAGGCTCATCGTTACTCCAATATTGTAAAATTGATGTTTTAAGTTTGAGAATAATACTTTGTTAATAATTACAGAACAAGGAGAAAAAAGGCAAGCAGTAAGTAGATTCAATGACATTTAATGTTGAAACCTTTTGGTATTCCATCGGCAGTTTCGGAAAGGTGTTCGTGCTTCACTCACCAACAGCTGTATTAAACCCTTCATATCATGATGATATTGGCGTAATAAATACTGGCAATAGTTGTAATAAAACCCATCATATCCTGATGATATCGAGGCCAATAACCACTGAAAATAGTTGTAATAAAACCCGTCATATAATGATGATATCAAGCCCAATAAATACTGACAATAGTTGTAATAAAACACGTCATATAATGATAATATTCGCCCAGTAAATACTGACAATTAATGGGTTTATAAACATAAATTGTGCTTTTTAGATATAATAAATGACATGAAAATTACATTTTTTTCTACACTGACTTTTACAGATTCCCCAAACTACAACAGCCTAGAATTAAATACTCGGAGCGAATCATCACCCAGCCGATATAGAAATTTAGGTGAAAAGTCCGGAAGTAAACCAGTGCCCGATTCATATGTATATGTAAGCGAATCATCACCCAGCCGATATAGAAATTTAGGTGAAAAGTCCGGAAGTAAACCAGTGCCCGATTCATATGTATATGTAGGCGAAACATCCGGAAGTACACCAGTGTCCGGTCCATATGTCAATTTAGATGAAACATCCGGAAGAAAACCAGAGTCCAGTCCATATGCCAATTTAGGTGAATCATCTGGAATTGATTCAAACCCTTACATAAATGTAAAACAAAAATCTTAACTCGAATCATAACCCAACGCATGAGTGAATTTAAGCGACGCATCAAGATGAAATTAACTCTGCGTTTTAATGAAAACATGGTGTTCATTTTAAAAAAAGAAAAAAAAAAATTGTTGAAATATTGTTATACCAGTTACAAATTCATTCGAAACGTTTTATATTAGTAATTATATATTAGGTTGTCATGGTCGAGGCATGGTATGCTTACTATTGTAAGAATATCGAAAACCAATTTTGAGAAATCCACACAGCTAATTATATATTCTAACTGGGTTGGCAGATGTCTCCATGTAATTGACGGGGCAGATATACATTACGGGCGAGGTATGTGTCAATCTGTTCACAGTGGTGATGAAAAAGCCTTCTTTTAACGGTGTAGAAGATGGCTGACATACGTGTGACATCACCTCATACGGCCTCGACAGCATGTGCTTGTTTACATCAGACGGAGTAACACAAACTGATCGGGGAAGAATTGATATCTTGTACGACATCGTACCCAGTCTATACCCATTAATACTAAACAGGAAATATGTTTTACCCAGATTTACTTCCAACATATATTTCTTTTTCTTATAATATTTTAAACAAAATGTTTTAGAATTGAATTTACAGAAGAGAATAAGCCAATATTGAGAGCTAATTAACCCGCCCCTGTGTCATCCATTGTCGTATATCTGAGTATACCGAGTTACTAATTCTTGACATAGACCTAATTATTTGTTGTTGTTTTTTAAATTATGAATTACTGCTTTTTGATTTAATTTTGTTTATCTTATTTTTTATTTAAATATAGCCAATCACTACTTTGTAGATCTTGTATTATGTGTTTTCTTTTGCGCGTTTAAAGGAATAATTTAGACATTGCGTGTTACTTTTTATCATTTTGATTTATATAATAAATTATTAATACTTTCTGTCATATGTTTTATACAATAAATTCCTACTTTTAATCATATTTTATATAATACATTACTACTTTTTGTCATATTATTTTTATATAATAAATTACTAATTTTGATCATATTTTGTTTAATATAACAAATTACAACTTTTTGTCATATTATTGTTATATAAGAAATTACTACTTTTGGTCATATTTTATTTTATAATAAATTACTACTTTTTGTGATAGTTTTATATAATGAATTACTACTTTTGATCATATTTTATTTTATAATAAATTACTACCTTTTGTCATAGTTTTATATAATAAATTATTACTTCTGATCATATTTTTTTAAATTTAATAAATTACAACTTTTTGTCGTAGTTTTATATAATAAATTACTACTTTTGATAATATTTTGTTTTATATAGTAAATTACTACTTTTGATCATATTTTGTTTTGAATAATGAATTTGTATCTTTTTTGTCGTTTGTTGTATTTAAAAAATTGCTACTTTTGTCATATTTTTTTTTTTTTGTAATAAATTACTACTTTTTGTCATATTAGTGTATGCTCGTCTTCATTATCGCGGTCGGGGCAGAACAGTAGGACATCAATGCCCATTTCATTTCATTTCATTTTTAACAATATAATAAAGTTCAGACGAGTCGCGCTATTATAATCCAATCTTGTCTCCTGCACATAAATAAGAAAGAGTTGCCTTGGTTTGGCTTTCATGGATTCACAATAAATGTGCTTTCATCTCAATGCTTACAGTGGGCAATGATTCAGTGTTCATTAACAACAAGATTTGAAATATTGTTCAAAGTTCTGGTGGGGCATTCTGGTTACTTCTGTACGCATCTGAGTGGGGATAGTACTTGTATGGAACAATAGACATACGAAACGCTTAGAACTGTCACCGTCTTAAAGGATGAATGAATGAAATGGGGACTAACGTCCTACTGTTTCACACCTACTGAGCTAATGGAGACGGACATCTGCTATGATTGAAATTTTGCCCGAACAGCGGCACTACCCAACCTCGGTTTGTCGTCCCATCCAGACAACTATACGCTGTACCTAGCCAGGTTCTCTGTCCTGCACAACGGAAATTGGGAAACAACGTTGAACATTCTGATAGAACACAGGAGTATATTATTCCACCATCGACCGGTTTATATATTAAACAATAGGGCCAGTTTTTCTTTACAACCACTGTTGACATAGAAATATATTTCTTTTATATTTATTTGTAAATATGACCATAATTTAGTATTCACGGCCGTGAAAGTACATTTAGTTGTACTTGGATATCTGTAAATTGACGTATTAGTTGAAGCTCCGTAACATGTAATCCGAAAATCCCGTTGTGTGCATATTGAATAGATATGTCACTAATCCCTGCTTACCTGTCAAATAAATCAATCAATACCAGGTAAAATCGATATTTTATTACCAAATCGTGTTACACAATAACAGGGTAACAGAATAGAGCAGCATATTTAATTCATTGATTCATACCACGCCCTGGTTTACTTTGACCACCTTTGTTTAAGTCATTCAATTCGCCATTTTAGTCCTAATATTTTACGTCTCTACAGAAAATGTATAAAGGGTATGTGGCCCTATTCTTTTGAATATTAAACATACATGTGGCCCTATTATTTTGAATATTAAACATACATTATATTATGCAAACACTAAATCTGCCTATTGCAGGTCTTTCGTTAGGCCTGAAATGTTATCTAAGTTATTAATTAGAAATCAATAAACTGATCCAGACCATAATCAACTCTCGATGTCACCGTTAGGCTGTAATATTTACTGGATTAGCATCCAATTTGCTGCCTAACTTTCATTCATGATTGAATCGTGAAGTGGATAATCGAGACTTTGTTTTTTTTATTGTTCCGACTTTAGTAATGATGATCAAGGCTAGGCCGAAAATTCAATCTCTAAATTCTCGGTTCAGAGTGGATCAATTCGACTGAAATTTCCAGCAAATTCCCTCTACATTATCTAATTTTTGACTATTATATTGAGAACTGCCAGCTCTTTATCTAATCTCCCATAATGTATCTTTAAAATAGCATGTCATATGTTACAGTATCCGTTCTTTTTTTATGTCAACACTGGTTTAACTTTATATGATAGTTTTATTATTCTTCAAACATATCAAGTACAAAACTTCTTATAGTTAAAGGGGGGTTGGATGGCCGAATGGTTAGCACGTGCGTGCTGTATCATACGGCCTGTCATTGAGTCAACTGGCGTGGTTTCGAATCCCCGGTTGTACGTGACAAGGAGTAGGGTCGCCTGTCCAACCTCGTGGGTTTTCTCCGGGTCCTCCGGTTTCCTCCCACTGCTTAAAAAAACCCTACGCGCAAGCGAATCATTGAAATAAAATTAAACCATATGTTAGTCCCGAAATGACCTAGTTTGTGTCGAGTGGACGTTAAACCCCATTTCTCTCTCTCTCTCTTATAGTTAAAGACTCCGTAATTAGTTTGTGTTGTGTTGCATTGGGACAGAACAAGACAATCAAATAAATACACGTCATATTTCTTCAAATTACTGACAATGTGGCCTAAACAGCGGATAATCATCATTAAATACTGATTGTAAAGTGTACATTTATTCCATTGTTTACAAAGGCAGATCTGGACCTGGACTTAAAAGATTCTTAAAAGGATCTTCTACCACCACAACTCTACCTACCAACCCTTGCGGATATCTTAGTCCAGAAATAAATGTCCCTCATCAACGTCCAATTTCGAATTCCACGGACTTGCGAAACACATATACATACCCAGACAATGGGTGCAAAAAATAAATAAGTAAAGTCATACAACCCCTTTAATTTCGTGTTCGTAAAATATGACCCAAAAGCCGCTAAGGTCCCATACAATAGAGTCACATCAATATTGTGGATAATTTGCTCAAGGTCATAATATTCAATAGAGTGATATTTTGTGTCGAAGAAGAAAGAATTGCAATGTGGTTCGATATAAGACGACAGAGGGAAATAATACATTTATTCGTGTCTTAACAATCAAATCACTTTGTTAAAGGTGCACCATCTTCACGGCTATTTTCGCAAACAAATATATATGAACCATTCATGTCACATTGGTGCAACTCTTAAATATGCTTTATGTGAATTTAGATAACGAGATCACAGTATCAGTCAAATAACTTTATTCTAGGAGACATTATGAATGCTGGAAGACTAGCGCAGTCTTGATTATCATTGTTACCATTGCTAGGGTTATCCATTCTTAAATTAAATTATAAGTTTGCTGTCGTGTTTTAATCTATAAAACATCACGAACATTCCAATCTGGTTAAAACACAGATCCTATTTCGTTTCGTTTTTATAGTTCAAAATTCGTTTTACTTTTCTTTACTACTCTTGGATCTGGAAGACTTGTTATTTAACTCGTGTTCTGCTTGAAATGAGGGGTCAGCCAATCAAATGGTCTGCCGAATCGAGTAACATCAATGCTGATTGGTTAATCAAATGTCTGACGTCATAGGTCAAAGAGTCGGTATAGAAATATAGATCTGTATTTTAATCAGATTGCGAACATTCGATAATCAGGAGAGCAACCTGTGAATAAATTATTAATAATTTATAGAACATTACAGGACAGACGAGAGGCCCGCAATAGGCACATTTAGCTGTTAAATAATGCATATGTTGTTTACATATTACAACGTTTTCATATATTTTATATACTAGATTACAACTGTGTGTCATATTTTAATATCATAAATTACTAGTGTTTGTAATATTTTGTTTTATATAATGAATTAGTAATTTTGTTACATTTGTACATTTGGACATTTGTCGTTTCTTTTAAATATTATAATATATATCTTGTAATAAATGTTAGCACATTAAAAGAATCATTCATATTTTCATATCTGTTTAGCGTCAACATAGAAACAATGTAATACGATACGATACGGTACGATATGATATGATAACTCAAGATACGTTACGATACGCATTATGACAATAGAGACTTTTGGCAAGCGGATTTTTCCCATCCGTATCCCGTATCCGTATCGTATACGTGATCCGTTGCGTCAATGTTGTTTTAGAGTTTTGTGCAGAATTTAGCAAGTTTTGGTTTCACTAGTGTATTATTTCAGAAAGTTTAGCCCGTAGATCAATCAGTGTGCAGACAGGCGGGAAAAATATAAAAATTCCGAGAAAAACCCATAAAAAATAATGATTAAATTCCAGTCGTTATCACTGTTAAAATCACATCAAATATACACCTTCGTGTTCTAGGATACACACAGATTCATAAAAACGCTATGATGCAACATTTCAGCGTCTAAAAGTAGCAAAAAAGACGGTAATAAGACGACAGTGTTATACGGACCATTTCCGTATGAAAGCAATTCCATACGTGCTGTCGTATCCGTGTGCCGTATCACGTATGAGAAATACACAGACATTGATGACGTCACACGCAAAATCCATACGGATACGCGATACGGACCAGGAAATTACGCTTGCCAAAAGTCTCTAATGACAAAAATCGGGCCTGGTCACAGATAATTAAGACAAATAAAAAGAAAAGGATGAATTACCACGTTTTGACATAAAATAAACGCATAAATTACTAGCCCTTTTCGTTTCTTTTAAATATAATATATGTATGTCATAAATGTTAACATATTAAAGGAATAATTTATATTTCCATATCTGTTTAGCATCATTATAGAAACAATACAATGAAAAACGATACGCATTATGACAATTACAATTTTACTATTATTCTTGTCAACTTTCAAATACGCCTTTGTTGTACACGTGTATGCCATTTCAAACGGTGTATTGTGCATGTATAAAACCATAATATAAAGTCCAGAAAAGTCACGTTATTATTTCATTAGTAATAAATTGTTACGGTAACCTTGATCCAGTCTGTGCTCGTACACATAGACATGTTTGGTGTTATAAACCAGGACGGCTGGCCTTGGCTTGGCTTTCAAAGCTTCACACTAACCATGCTTACAGTTGGCAAGGATCCAATGTTCATGAAAAATAGGAATACAAATTATTAACCTGGCATTATCTATTTAAACACGATGGACGTTGTACTATC